AGGAGTAACTTGACCCAATTTTTTTACTTCACTCATTCTAAACAAACATAAAGCCGGTACCTTTTCAGCCTGTCTGATTGCATCGTTGAGCTTCATATTCAGTTCTGTGTTTTCCAGACGCAATGATTCAATCTGTGTTTTCAGGACACCATTTTTGCGTTGCTCATCTTCAAGTGCCACGACACTTTGCATATATGTTGTCACCTTTTCTTCCAGCACTTTCATTGTAATTTTCTGCGCACTGAATTCCTCTGAAAGATGACAAAATATGAAATTTTTGAAAGCTATTTCGTTCAGATGGCTCTTTGATCATTATAAAAATCATGATTTTACTGAGTTTAGCTTTGTAGCTATTGATTTGACTGTCGAGCTTTTCGTAATCTTGCGCACGAAGTCGATGCTCCTCAAGCTCATCCTTTAACCGCTTGAATTCTGTTTGAAGAGGGACCATATCTTCAACCTATAAATAGCTAATGCTACAATCAGTGCAGAAATTCGGAAGAAAAAATTAGGAAAAACTAACGCTGTACATTCTACGTGTGAAGTTCTCCAGGGAACTACACGAGGGACGAATGCACGTGAAATTTCTACTGAGGCAATTATAGACATAAATACATAATGGGTAAGAGCATTATTACGCGATCGCAAAAGAAGATAAATTTTGTGAACAAAGCCCTTTCTCAAAAGTCATTCTGAACCAGCAGGGAATCGAACCAATTCCCTTCACGTCCAAACGCAACGTGTTACCACTAAACCACGACCCCCCAGCCCTATTTCAGCCTGACAGCACTTCTACTGTGTATCTGCCTTTTAAGGCAAGATACGCCTCCCTTTTCTTCCCTTTTTCTTTGTGGTGGCTTCTTGGCTGGCTTTTCTTAGGCCCTCCGCGGCAGGAGTAGACAACCTGCAATAAACTTTTAGAAAACGACTACTCCTACGAATTTCGAAGTATTTCCAGCAGTGGCGGGTAAAAACTGAAAACAGACAGCTCTGGCCAAAAGGGTCCCACCACTGTACTTAGATTCAGGGTTCGAACAGACGGCTAGACCGATCCTAAAGACAGAAAATTCTCGGAAAATAAAAAAGTAACCAACCTTCACTTTTAAATCCGTATTTTCTTCCTGTAGACGCATATTTGCTTCTTTCAGATGCTCTTTTTCGGCTTCAGCTCTGAAAAAAAATTATCAATCCGATTTAAATTATTACCATAAAGTCCAGTTTGAGTAATATTTGCTTTCACGCAACGTGAGAGGAATGGGGCATATCCAGTACTTGCGTAAGCGGATCCAGGGCGAATAAATGGAGCATGGGGGTGACGAGGGGTAGGGAGGAGAAGGAAG